CCTTGTCCCGCCGGACGGCTGGTGACCATTCTCCCCCTTTGTCGTCTGTTCCGTCCCGCCAGGGCCGCCGGTGACGTCGGCGTCTATCTCCCCCCCGTCCCCCAGGCTGCCGGTGACATCGGCGTCTTCTTTCCCCCTGTCCCGCCGGGCCGCCGGTTGACGTCTGCATCTCTCTCTCTGTCCCGCTTGGCCCGCCGGTGACGCGTCGGCGTCTCTTCCCCTGTCCCGCCGGGCCGCCGGTGGACGTCGGCGTCTCTCTCCCCCTGTCCCGCCGGGCCGCCGGTGACTTTCGGCGTCTCTCTCTCCCTGTCCCGCCGTGGCCGCCGGTGACTGTCTGCATCTCTCCTCTGTCCCGCCTGGCCCGCCGGTGACGTCGGCGTCTCTCTCCCGCTGTCCCTCCGGGCCGCCGGTGACGTCGGCGTCTCTCTCCCCTATCCCGCCGGGCCGCCGGTGACTTCGGCGTCTCCTCTCCCGTCCCTCCGGACCGCCGGTGACTTCGGCGTCTCTCCCCTGTCCCGCCGGACCGCCGGCGACGTCGGCGTCTTCTCCCTGTCCCGCCGGGCCGCCGGTGACGTCGGCGTCTCTTCCCCTGTCCCGCCGGGCCGCCGGTGACGGTCGGCGTCTCTCCCTCTGTTGCCAGCGTGCTGCTGCTGTCCGTTCAGGACGCCGGCCGTACTGTGAGTGACGGTCGGCGGACTCGGCCTGCCCCGCTGCCCCCCCCCCCCCCCCGCCCCGCGCCTGGCTCGCACTGTATGCTGCCGGCATGCGTGGCCTTCTCCCCGGGTCGGGCCGCCCCGCCGCCTGGTGGCCCTCCCCCCGCCCCCCTGACCTGCCCGACGTCGAGGAACCGTCGTGCGCTGCATGACCGGCGTGCGCGCTGCGCGCTCCGCCTGCCGGCCCGGCGGCACCGGACGGTCCGGCATGCAGGCGCTGGTCAGTCTGCCGGCCCAGCGGCCGCCGGACGGTCCGGCATGCAGCCGCTGGTCAGTCTGCCGGCCCAGCGGCGCCGGACGGTGAGGCATTGCAGCCGCTGGTCAGTCTGCCGGCCCGGCGACACCGGACGGTCCGGCACGCAGCCGCTGGTCAGTCTGCCGGCCCCAGCGGCACCGAACGGTCCGGCATGCAGCCGCTGGTCAGTCTGCCGGCCCAGCGGCACCGGACGGTCCGGCATGCAGCCGCTGGTCAGTCTGCTGGCCCAGCAACACCGGACGGTCCGGCATGCAGCCGCTGGTCAGTCTGCGGGCCCAGCGGCGCCGGGCGGTCAGGCATGCAGCCGCTGGTCAGTCTGCGGGCCCAGCGGCGCCGGGCGGTCAGGCATGCAGCCGCTGGTCAGTCTGCGGGCCCACCGGCACCGGGCGGTCAGGCATGCAGCCGCTGGTCTCGTGAGCTGCACAGGCTTTGTGTGTGCCGCGCCGTTTAGTGCTGTGGCGGGAATGGCCTGCGGCTGGCCTCATGACCGTCAGTGTCTGTAGTGGTGAACGATCTCACGTTCGTGAGGTGATGTGGTGGATGATGACGGTTTGGGGAATGGCAGTGATGTAAACATGTCATATCTCTTGCATGTTTTGAATTCTAGCCACAACTCTTTCTTGGAGGTGGGCTTTGTGGTAAAAGCCACGGCTAGCAGCAAATATTATTGAAAATTGGCGGCTCCGTTGGGCCAAACCAGGCATATCCAGGAAATTGCCGATGTATTATCTAGCTATAAGTAGCGCTCCCTGTATAGATTAGTAGACACATTTCAGTCAGTCCCTGCAACCCCCACTACAATCATTCTTTGGCAAGAGTGTGCCGTCTACAGCTTGGCTTGTCCACCTTGGTCATTGGATTCAGGCATTTGTGAAGTTTTTCAGTCATGTGGGCTTATAACACATCGGTTAGCGGAGGTAGAAGGTTGGAAGACGAGTGCCCTGGCGCGCGAGCCGCGCCGCGAGGGCGGACTGGTCGGCAGCGGACTGTCTGGCAGGCGCCGGCCGGCCCGCGGGGGTCTGCACCGCACCGGTGCCCGGCCGGCCGCTGCGGCTGCCGGCCGCCGCCGTCTCGGTGGCCCAGGTCACCTGCTCGGCGTGGGAGCTGTGACTGACCGCGGATCTGGGCTGCCTGCCGGCGCCAGGCAAGGCGCTGGCTGGGTCCGGCCGCAGCCCGCCGCCCCGCCGCCTCGGGCTGCGGGGCCAGGAGGGTGTCCCGCCCCCGGCCAGCGGCGCCGGTGGGCGCGCTGGGCCGGCCGGCCCGAGCCGCGCCGCCCTGAGGCTGGGCGGTGCTGGGGCTTTGCTCTCCGAGCCGACGGAGGCCGCCGCGCCGGCCCGGCGTCGGGACGCGGCCCAGATCCGCACGCCGACGTCCGCCGGCCGGGCGGACCCCGGCGCCACGGCCTGGCGGGCGCGACGCGCCGCCGCTCGGGTACCGCTTCCGGGCATGCGTGCGACTGGCATGCCGTCGCGTCTGCCGCGCGACGCCGCGCTCCGCTGCACCTGGACACGGCTCATCCGTGTCATGTAGAGCACCGAACTGCGCCACCGAACTAGGCGGCTCGTCCTTCTGCTCCGAGTCGGCTGGGTTCAACCTGTTTTCTTTGCCACAGGTACGGACACTTTTCGGGCATCAACCGGAAAATTCAGATCAAGTACCAGCCCAAGGGCTGGAAGAGGAGCAGCGAGGACGGTGAGTCGGGTCGGGCGGGCCAGTGACCTCCGGCGTTGTTCCCGAGCAGGGAGTTTTGGCACGGCATCGGGGGTCATGAACCGTTGTAAGCGATTACGTGGAATCCCGTTATGGGCGTCGGCCGACTTGTTTACGTGAGGCTAGAACTGTTTGGCAGCGGTGTGATGCCGCTAACCTTAATCTGGCAGGGCGTGACACGGAGTTTGATATGAATTAGATTACCCGGGACTAGCCTTCGACGCGTCGACGTCTATATTCGTCTTGTGCGTATGCGGGCCTTTCGCTTTCGCAGGGCATGTGCATGAAAGCACGGCAACCTGCTCATTCTGTCGCTGTTAGTGATATTACAACGGCGTTTCGTAGCGCTGTATGCCGTTGTAAAAAGCCTTCGAGTGCTTCCTTCACAACCGAACTTATATGATAATTTCCGTTTCCGACGTTATTGATATATCAACAGCTATTGACACACCAGACGTCTGAATTGGGCTATATCAATTATCCCATGGATGGGATGCGGTGAGCTTGTACAAGCGTGCTGTATATGCGTCTCTGGACACGTCATACGATCGATGTGTCCGTGTGAGGGGGATGTCCGTGCGCAGGTGTGAGCACGTTGTGCGTATTTTTACACACGAGCGCCTGTCATGTGCGGACACCCGGACATATATGGACATACCCGGACACGCATGGGTTGGTTGTTCGTGTCCCCTGACACGTGTGGTCGTCCTGCCCACATCCTGGGTACCTGACAGTCTCGTCCGTGTCGGATGGCATCCCTTCTTGCCAGTGGCATGTCCGCAACTACAGTACATAGGCCTGATATTCGTATCCTTCGAGACATGTGTGTTTCTAGTCTTGTACGTACCGGGCGTGTTGGGATGTCCGTGTCTCTGGACACCCGCCAGCGTCGTGTCAGCGCCTGCTCGCGTTTGTAGGCGCACTGTCCGTACATGGGGACACCTGTAGGTGTTGTATCCCGGTTTGGGGCCGCTGTAGTCGCGACGCCCGCTCCCGTGGCCCGCTGTCTGTGAGCGGCTGCCGGCGCGGCGTGGTGGCCTGCGCGCGCGCGTCCGGCGCCGCCTCGACGGACGGCCGCCTGAGCGCGCCGCCGGCCCTCTCGCCGCCAGAGAGCAGCTCCGAGGAGCCGTCCCTGGTGCTCGTGCTCAAGTGGGGCGGCGAGCTGACGCCGGCCGGCCGCGTCCAGGCCGAGGAGCTGGGCAAAATATTCCGGTGTATGTACCCGGGCGGCCAAGGTAAGTCGGCAGCGGCAGCAGCGGTCGCGTGCGCGGGTGGGGGCCCGCGTCGGCGAGCCCCTGAGTGCCCGCTGACGCGCTGGTCAGTGATGGGAGCTCAGGAGATTGCTGGTCCCGGTGGCCGAGTGGGCTGAGTCATCACTGGTCGCAGTAGTGTCCCAGTCGCAGCACCTACTAAAGCGCGCATCGCACCGCGATCTAAAGCGAAAACGGAGACGTCCGTGCGTAAAAAGATCACGTTACGTTGTCCGATAAGATATCAAAGCCAGGCTGATATTCTTGTGAAAACAAAAAGGACGGCAGATCGTAAAATCTGGCGGGGATGTACAAGTTGGGCCTTGTTGAACTTTGCATGTACATGATGACGTGAAGCGTTCCCGAGAAAAACGTCGGTGCGTCAAGACGCTTACATCACGTGACGTCATGAAAATACCGCGCTCTCGTGTCTGGCTAGCGTTGTCAGCACACTTCGAACGCAGCCCTTGTCCGTGGCGCGCTATCATGCCGCGACCGACGGCCGCGTGAGAGCCGAGGCTTCACTCTGTAAATGACGCACGCTGCAGTCTCATCACCTTGACGTTCGGTGGTGCTTCGTCATGTCTAAGCGACGGGCCCGATGGCGTGGGCGCCGGCGCCCTGTGCCGGCCTGCAGCTCCCAGCGCTCTGACCGGTCGCGCCTCCGGCGTCCCCGTGTTATGAACACGGCGACGCGCGGCCGCCCTGTAGGCGCGTGCGTGGCGGGGGCCGTTGCCGCGCCAGACACTGCTGAAGGCAATAACCCAGGTCGCACTAACGGGTTCTGTGTGAGGTGGTCGTGGCGTACCATTACTGTATCATTGACTCCTCGTAGTGGTTTGCGCGGTGGTGAGCGGTGGTAATAGTCGATCATAACCCACCGCCTGTTGGTGTTAGCTGTTCATAACATCGCCGCTGCCTGAGAGATTCTACAGTGGCCGGCACGCCCTGTTTTTTTTTACCGTCATTTGTAGCATCTGGCTCCATGTGGGTGTGTGTATGTCGCGCGCTTATGTACATGGGCCGTGGCGAGCGTCGGCTGCCGCCTGCCGCGCTCAGCGGCCCGTGGCGCCGCCTGGATGTGACCCATCTGTCTCCTGACACTGTCGCTCTGTCTCTCCCACCGCAGGTATTATGCAGCCCTGGGGGTCAGGAATGTCGGAGGGATTCCCCGCGTATCACTGTTAGTGGGACCTCCTGATTATCCACCTGTAGCTTTTCCATGCTCTTCCTCGCTCATACTCACTCTGTCTCTTGCTGTCTCTGTCTGGTTTTCTGTGCGTCCCCACTAACCACGGTGCTCGGTGCGAGTTCATGCAGTAATTGTGGAAGTCAGCTCCGTTTCTAGGCCAAGTAGAGTGCTCCTCTGAAGCTGATTGGGTGCGTTTGCCTCATCCCAAATCCTGATAAATTTATTCGGTCCTCGCTGTAAGCCAGCAGTTGCGCTAGTGTTACGCTCGCTTTCATCACACGCCATAAGCTAGCCACCGTTGGAGAACGGGTGGCGGGGGTCCCCATCAGCCATCAGCAACCATCTGTTGGAATGCCGCACTTGGGCGAGCGTGCTCATTGCGAGCCTAAAGCGCGATAGTCATCCTGGCTTCCGCGAGTCAGTCTTAAGTCCCTCTCGCATACGTGGATGCATTTCGGCATCGGCCCGCAGTGCTGCCTCACTGCCGAGAGGCCTGGGGAGAGGCGGGAGGGAGCGGGGAACATTCGGCTGGCCCCCAGCGCTGTAAGCACCTGTGCCCTCACCGTCCCGACCCGCCGCCCGCTCCTCTCCGCATGCGCTCCTCGCTCACTAACCGACCGCGGCTCGCGACGGCTGCCGGCGGCGCTGCCCCGCGGCCGACCCTGGCGCGGCGTCACGGCCTCCCGCGCATGGCAGCTCCCAGAGCGTCCCAGCGCCGGCGGAGCGTCTGTGACCGTCCAGGGCCAGCGGCCACCTGAAGCCAGTCCGTTGTCACGCAATTCTCCGCTGCTCACACCGCTGCCCAACAGCTGTCGCATGCGGGCATTTTTAAAATGAAACATGCCTTTGTTCTTGTTCGTTTATTGCTTAGTTGCCCCGGTTTATGATCATAAGCTCCGGCATTTGTACGCTTATTTGAAAACGGTCGGGGTGCTTGCTGAGTCCTGTCGCCCGTGGCCGGTCTCCGCTCGCTTGCTGCGCTAGTGTTACGATTTTTACACCGTTCGTCTCTTTTGTATTCGAAATGTGCGGCTGTTTTTCTGCCGCTTGTACCTTTGACAGTCTCATTTTGCGCATATCCGGCTTGCCTCGGCGAGTGTTCATGGCTGTACACTGCTTGCGGCCGCGTGTGACGAGCGCCGCGGCTGGCGCCGGCGGCCGCCGCGGCTCGGTCTGCCCTCGCCGCCCCGCCGCCGTGTCGCGCCGGTGACCCGAGCGCGCCGGCCGCCGCAGGGGAGTACGCCGGCACGCAGGGCCTGGGGCTGCTGCGGCTGCACTCCACCTACCGGCACGACCTCAAGATCTACGCGTCGGACGAGGGCAGGGTGCAGATGACGGCCGCCGCCTTCGCCAAAGGTGTGCTCGGGGCCGGCCGGCGGCGGCTGAGCTCCAGTCCGCGGTGTGCGCTTCAGGCCGTCTGCGCTGACGACAGGCGTAGTCACTGCGGCGCGTTTGGCGCCACGTGCGTTGAACTGTGGCGCCCGCCCGTCCGGCGAGCTGAGGCGCTGCATTGCGTTGAAGATGGTGTTAAGGGTGTTAAAGGAATCACTCTGAGATAGGATAGCGGGGTGTTGGCCACGCTGCTGTAGGCCTGTTTAGGCCGTGTGTCTGAGCCAGCGGTGGGCGGCGAAGGGCACGGTGAGCCGGCCGCCGTCGCCGCCTGCAGTCGGCACGTGACGTTCATGGCGTGTCGCGCCGAGGCTCGCCGGTGGCAGCGAAGGAATGTCGCGATGACGCTCTCTGTGGCCTCTCCAGGGCTGCTGGCGTTGGAGGGCGAGCTGACCCCGATCCTGGTCCAGATGGTCAAGTCCGCCGACACAAACGGCCTGCTTGACAACGACTCCGACTCGCGCAACCTGCTCAACATGTGAGTGTCGGCCGCCGTGTGCGGAGCATTGGGACGGGGCTGGCCTGTCGGCCGGCCGCGCGCGGCAGACGGCGAGCGTGGTGATGCGCCGTCCGGTCCGGTCACGCGTCCGGTCTCGAGCCAGGCCCCGTCTGAGCGCGCGCCTCCGCCGCAGGGTGAAGAACAGCATCCACGACCTGTTCCAGCAGGACCGCGACTTCACGGCCGCCGACATCCAGCAGCTGAACCCCACCGGCTCCATCAGCGTGGCCAAGGCGCTCAGTCGGCTCAGTGAGTGGCGGCCGCCGGCGCTCGGACTGGTCGACACCGCCTCGGGCGACCGCCGGTGCTCGTGCTCGGCATGGTCGACACCACCTCGGGTGGCCGCCGGTGCTCGTGCCCGGTCTGGTCGACACCGCCGGTGCTCGTGCTCGGCATGGTCGACACCACCTCGGGCGACCGCCGATGCTCGTGCTCGGTCTGGTCGACGCCGCCTCGGGTGACCGCCGGTGCTCGTGCTCGGCATGGTCGACACCGCCTCGGTGCTCAGCGGGCGACCGCTGGTGCTCGCGCTCAGTGTACCCGACGCCGCCGCTGACGCCGCGGCGCCGCGCCGACTGCTCCCGGTCGGGTTTTGCTCTACTTCAGCAACGCTCAGTTGAAGGCGTTGCTGAACTAAAGTAAAACCCGTCAATGCCCACAACTGCCACTTGTCCGCAGTTGTGAGCGTTGGTTTGTTGACGTGAGTCGGTCAAGTGCCAACAATGTTCGTGTCTTTCGCTCAAGCGCCTTTTGTTTATGATAGCCTAAGTACCCTGGAAACCCGTCTCAGATCTCCAGACTAAGTACATCTGCTTAGAGAATGCTAGCGTATTATCGTCTGACTTGCGGTGGCAGGTTTGCGTGTATGTTCACGCTCTCTCGTTTGATGGCAGAAAATCCGGTGGAAACCTGCCAGCTGGTGTACAACCACCTCCAGAAGCTGCTGAAGGTCATCACCCCGAAAATGGAGGAGTCCAAAGGTAGGCCGGTGTTGCATCTGGCAGTCAGACAGGTGCCAGAGCGGTGTGCTCTTTACTGGTGCTCTGAGAAAAATGATTCTGGCCAGCCAATTAAGAGCTTTGTGAGAGAGCCAGCTGGCATTGGGTGAGATCAGACATTTGAATGCATGACAACACGTCTGGCCGCGTGATGGGCGATCTGCTAGATCCGCGCGAGTGTTATCCACACCCGCTGTTAGTGATAAAGCTTGCCGGTGGCCTGCTGCCGCGGGGTGCCAGCCGCCCTGACCATGCTGCCACGGTGGCCGCCCCCACAGAGCTGATACTGTACCACGGCGAGACCTGGGAGCTGATGCTCCGACGCTGGGTCAAGCTCGAGAAGGACTTCAAGACGAGCAACGGCAAGTTCGACATCAGCAAGATACCCGACATCTACGACAACATCAAGTACGACCTGCAGCACAACCAGAAGGTGCTGCAGTTCGACGACGCCGAGGAGATGTACCGCGTCGCCAAGACGGTGGCTGACGTCATTGTACCGCAGGTCAGTGGCTCTTCAGCGCCGCAGGCGGTGGCGTGCGGGGCCCAGACACGGGCCTGCGCCATCGGGCCGGGCGCTGTTCGACGACGCGCAGTCTCCGAGACTCGGCTGGGTGGTCGGTGCGCTCGACACTCGCCAGCGTGGTGCACCCGACACACGCCAGTGCGGTGCACTCGACACTCGCCAGCGCGGTGCAGCGGCACTCATCGCGCACGTCGTGGCTGTGGAGCCTGTGAGGAGCCGGTCCGTGTCGACACTGAGTGTCCCTCCCCCGCCGGGGAAGGGGAGAGGATAAGCTCAAGGTGCCCGCTCACCGAGCCGCTGTGGCCGCGGGGTCAGCTGCTGCGCCCCCCGTCCGCGCCCGGAGCCCAACCCCTGCCGCCGCCTCGGCCGACTCTCCGTCGGTGGTCCGAGCCGGGCCGGGCTACGAGACCGGTGTCCGTGAGGCGGCCGGCTGTCCTGGCCTGTCGTGCTGCACCGTGTTTACCGCGCGCCACGCCCTCGGGTCGATAGAACCTCCCCCTGATGGCGTGTGACGGCTGTGTATGCTCGTGACACATGATCGGCATTGGGATTTACGATCTGACCTTTGCGGTGAGTGCGCTGAAGTATCCCTTCGATAAGACGAGCTGCTGTTACCCCACTTCGGGAACGAGCCGCCCACAGGTGACCTGTGCACCCAGTCATGGGCGCGCGGTCGCCGCCGGCACCGCCAGTCCGCGTCATCTGCCCCAGACCTCAGCTGTGCAGTTCGGCATGGCCGTCGTAACACGGGCGCCGCTCATGAATCACCCTTCGTGCAGCGTATTCCCGGCGCTGTTTGTCTGCCGGCCACAGGCAAAACGGCTTAAGTGCTGTGTTCACTAATGGCTCTTAGGCCTCTTGCCTTTGGACGGCAGTGCGGCGTCTGTGTGTTGCGTTTAGCCCTTGTCGCGGAGCCGGGATTGGTGTCGGTCGTTGAGACTGTCGCCGCCAGCTGGCGTGTTGATCCCCGCTGCTGACGGATGTCCGCGCCAGCCTGCGATATGGGCCGGTCCTGATCTCAGCCTCTAGTGTGCGTCACCGCCTGTCCCCGATACGCCGATCCCTCGCCTCGATATGCCGATCCCTCGCCTCGATCGTAGCCTCCCGTGAGCTCGTCCGTCCCTGTGTCGGTGTCGGTGCCGGTGCGTGCGTCTGAGGGGCGCCCGGCCGCCGCTGCAGGAGTACGGGCTGACGCGCCAGGAGAAGCTCTCCATCGGGCACGGCATCTGCACGCCCCTGCTGAAGAAGATCCAAGCGGACCTGCGACGGAACGTGGATGAGGGCGCCGAGGAGAACGTCAACCGGCTCAATCCCATGTAGGTGCCGCGGCCGGCCGGGCCAGAGCGGCGTACCGCGCTCGCGCGCCGCGGGGCGCGTCCGCCGACACAGGCCGGGGCGGGCCAGCACGCGACTGGCGGGCCCGCGCCGCCGACCGTCCTGCCGCCTCCTCAGTGGGCCAGTGACTGCAGAGGTGTAACCTCGCACGCAGATGTCCTGATGCACGGCGGCCTGTCGATTCGTCTGTCCCCACTGATGGTCGGGCCCGCCCCTCACGTGTCCAGCGTTTCCCACGAAGCGAGACTGGACCGTCGCCGTCGCGCGGCCGGCCAGCCTGACGCCGCCGGCGCCGCCGCCAGGTACTCGCGCGGCGTGTCCAGCCCCCAGCGGCACGTGCGCACGCGGCTCTACTTCACCAGCGAGAGCCACCTGCACTCGCTGCTCACCATGCTTCGATACGGCGGCCTGGCCGACGTGAGTGCGCCGGCCGGGCGCCGCTCGGGCGCCGCTCGGGCCTTGTCGAGCCACGCGCCGCGCGTCTCCCGCCGGCGCCGCACCCCGTGGCGCGGATGGGCCTGCAGCCCGCGGGTCTGCTGGCGTGCGGCCTCACGTGCTAGATTCCCAACGCGTTTATCAGTGGCGGATGCCTTTGCCGCCACGTCGAGGGATGTGCATTTCCCGGCGTCGCATTTTGTGATATCTCGGACGCCGCCGCTGCTGCTCATGCTGATCTCGCTGGCTCTGTGTCTCACGTGAGTGCGTGACCAGCCGCGCCGGCTGGCTCGGGAGGGCAGCCCGCGTGACGTCATCAACGGAACGGTGTGGGAGCGCCGCTCACCTGGGGACGGACCCGGCCGGCAGGAGGCGCGCGACGAGCAGTGGCGGCGCGCCATGGACTACGCCTCGGCCGTCTCCGAACTCAACTACATGTCCCAGGTGGTGATCATGCTGTACGAGGACCCCACCAAGGACCCACTCTCCGAGAACAGGTGGGCCGCGCCGCCGCCGCCGCCGGGCGCGCGGGCGTGCCACGAGTCACTGAGAGAGAGATGGAGACGAGGCGAGAGAGAGAGAGAGAGAGAGAGAGAGAGAGAGAGAGAGAGAGAGAGAGAGAGAGAGAGAGAGAGAGAGAGAGAGAGAGAGGAGAGAGAGAGAGGAGAGAGAGAGAGAGAGAGAGAGGGAGAGGGAGAGGAGAGAGAGGAGAGGGAAGAGAGAGAGGGAGAGAAGAGACAGAGAGAGACAGAGACAGAGACAGAGACAGAGACAGAGACAGAGGACAGAGACAGAGACAGAGACAGAGACAGAGACAGAGACAGAGACAGAGACAGAGACAGAGACAGAGAGACAGAGACAGAGACAGAGACAGAGACAGAGACAGAGACAGAGACAGACGACAGAGACAGAGACAGACAGAGTTTTCGTGATCCATGCAGTGCGCGTGTCGTCGTCCGCCTGGCGGTGTACCGGTACCGGTGGCGCTGGTCAGACTTGGCAAGCTACAGGCTGCCAGATCGTATTACTCGCTCATGTTTAAGCACTTGCGTTTTCTGAGCGTTGCGTCTCTGTCAGCGTGGTAGCGTCCAGTCCATTGCACTGAAGCGTCCAGAAGAGCTCTCCGTATCAAGGTGTCATGATATTCGTGGTGTTCCAGTGCACGCACATTATATGTATGTATGTATGTATGTATGTATGTATGTATGTGTGTTTGCGTGTGCGCGTGCGTGCGTGTATCGTGTTATATTACCGCACAGCGCCTGAGCTGCCGGCGTGGCGGTCCGGTGTCGCCCCTGACGCGTCCGTGTGCCCCTCTGCCAGGTTTCACGTGGAGCTTCACTTCAGCCCGGGCGTGAACTGCTGCGTCCAGAAGAACCCGCCGCAGGGGCCCGGCTTCCGACCCCAGTCACGCGGCGACATGGTACGTGGCGCCGCCGCGTCGGCCGCCGCGCCCGTGTGCCGTGCCGTGCCGTGCCGTGCGCGTTTTGAGCGGGCCGATTTTTTCGGACGCACGACCCAGGCAGAGCGGGAGCGGGACCGGGGAGGGCGGGGAGGGGGGACGGCCGCGGTGCCCGTTCAGCCGTCTGGGCGGGGACACAGTGTCGGGGCGACGACAGAGTCGCAGGTCTTTCGGTTTATGCCAGGAAGATCATTGCGAGGGAGTAAATCCATGAGGACAGCCCACGTTTCGTTTGAGCGTCACGTAAGCGGCCGTGCGCCCGCCAGCTCCGACCCAGAGGGTGGTCGGGTTGCGGTGTTGGTGTGCGTGTGTGCGTGTGCGGCCGCTGGCCCGCTCTGCCCCGTGCTGTGCAGTGCCGAGCCGAGCCCCGGTCCGTCCGGCGGCATGTGCGTGTCCTCAGGCGCGGCGGCAGCCGACGTCCGCCCGCCGCCCCTCTGACGCCCCCCTCTCACCCGGCCCTGTAGAATAAGCTGACTAACCCGCCCGGCCGCCGACCGCCGTCCATGATCGAGGAGGAGGACGGCGAGACGATCGAGAGCGGCTCCGAGCCGGAGGCGGCCGTCGAGGTGCAGGTAGGGTGAGGGGCGCACTAGTCGGGACGCAGGTAGGGTGAGGGACGCACTAGCCTGGGCGCGGGTAGGGTGAGGGACGCACTAGCCGGGGTGCAGTTGGGGTGAAGGACGCACTAGCCGGGGCGCAGGTAGGGTGAGGGACGCCCTAGCCGGGGCGCAGGTAGGGTGAGACGCACTAGCCGGGGCGCAGGTAGGGTGAGAGACGCACTAGCCGGGGCCCAGATAGGGTGAGGGACGCACTAGCGGGGGCGCAGGTAGGGTGAGGGACGCACTAGCCGGGGCGCAGGTAGGGTGAGGGACATGCTAGCCGGAGCGCAGGTGGGGCCAGGGACTCATGACCTTAACGTTCGGTATCAAATGCGACTTGTCGATGCCCAACTCGCTTCCTTGCGTCCATCTCAGATGCTGTTGCTTGATGCAGCTGGCGGTGGTGGGGTGACGCTAATGTGTCGTGCTTGCAGGCGGGCCCTTGCAGCAACCAGCGGCCGCCGCCCTCTCAGCCCATCGCCATTAGGTGAGCCGCGCCGTCGGTCGGGCCGCCCCCACCGTGGGCCGCCTCTCCCGAGCGCGGCTCTGGTGTTCGTATCTCTAGCGGGGTATCGTGGCTGCCTGCGGCGTAGGACGGCGTCGACGTGTCGAGGACGACGTGGCTGGCGGCGATAGGCTACCGCCAGCGCCGCCGCTGATGTCAGTGCCGGTGCGCGCGCACGTGTGTGTGTGTGTGTGTCTTCAGCGGGTCACGTGTTGGCGCCCTGCTGGCCGCTGTCTGGTGTGTGGGCCGGGCGTGTCTGTGTGCGCGGCTGGCGGCGGCCGTCTCTGACCCGTGTGTGCCGGCGGGCTGGCGTGCTCAGCCGGTGCGCCACCTCGCCGTCGCACCTCTCGCCGCCGCAGCAGGACCTGTTCCGCTCGTGCTCGCACCCTGGCTCGCCGGACCGGCGCGCCGGCGCCGAGGAGCGGCCGCGCAGCCTCGAGGGCCTGGTGGAACGCGGCCGTGTGGAGCCGGCGCCGGCCAGGCCAGGTCAGAGCTCCGCCTCCCCACCTCCCCTCCCCCCCCCCCTCGTGGCCGGAGATCAGTCGACGCTGGCAGTCCACCGCCCCCTCCCCCTGCACATACATGCTCACACGCATACACACGGGTGCGTCTTGCAGGCTTTAGGTGACGGCCCTGCTTAATTTGTGTGCTTTGTACAGTGTCATGAAAGATGCGCGCGGTTTGGGAAGCGGTTGTAGTTGTTTGTGGGACGTTTAGGCGTGGAAATAGGACAACCGTCTTTTTAATTTCGTGTGTAAGTCGCACTCGTTTAGGACCAACTTGTCAACTTCCCACTGGTTAGCTCGGACGTTTTTTTCTCTAACTACGTTGCAACAGCCAAAAATGCGTTTTTTCTTCTGCTTGTTTCTCCTCCTTGCTCTGGAGAAAATTAACTTACAACGCTTTGGCACCGAATTTGTGAAATATTACTGTCAGAAGAATACAGAAGAAAACTGTATTCCTATGATAACTCAGGCTCAAATTGTATAATTCTCAATGTATCTCTAGAGTGCTTGCTCATGCTGACGGGCGCAGAAATGACCGTCTATCCCCTGGGGCGCACAACACACGGTGGAAGGCATGGCTGTCACTACAGCTGTGCTCAAAAGCCGCGGTTACGTAAAGAGGTATCGCCACCTTACGGCTCTGAAAAGCAATCTAAATGCCGCGGTGTCTGCAGCGTGGCGGTATTCTGGAGATATCCGTAGTCTGAAGTATATTCGTAAACTGCCTGGAATGTTGTGTGTCCCTAAATTAGTCGCCTGTTGACCTGATAATGTGGGTTTCCTATGAATAGGCAGGTGTTAGCCTGTTTCCCAGACGTCTTAGTTTAAAGTCGTAGCCTCCCTCGTTCGGGCAGCACCTTTCTCGTTGAAACCTCTCGTGCCGTCCCTGCTGGATACCCCCTGCAGAATTGTCATGGGAGTAGCCCGTCCTCTCAGCATGTGCATCGGCGCCCACTGTCCGATCGGTCGAAAACAGCCTCGTTGTGTCGTCTCCCGTCAAACCTCTGAATGCCGATTAACCAGTTTGGCGTTTGGAACTGCGCAGACTTTGACCTCGGTCGTGCCTGTGCGCCTGGACTGGCCTGCGGAGCGCGGCGAGACGGGTCGCTCGCCGCCCCATCCAGCAGATGGCGTGACTAACATTAGTTTATCTGCCCGCCAACAGATGGCTTTAATTCGGGCGAGCTGGACGATGAGGACGAAGGTAAGACGGCGTCCCCCGCCGTCAGCCGCTGCATGCCACCGGCGCGGCGCCCGCCACGCCGGCGGGCCGCCCTTGTGCAGCGTGTAACACGTGCATGGATGGAGCGCAGCAGACGGCTGGGCTCAGTCACCGGGCTGCAGTTAACTCTTCAGCCCGTACTCTACGACGAAATTTCTGGCAACCGCACGCCCCCAGTTGGAATAGCGGGACGTCTACGGCAGGTGCAGCGCCGACTGTGGAGGCCCCGCGCCCTGACGTCACGAGTCTGGGACCGTTCTGCGCCTAGCGTCGGACCCTCCCCGGTGCGGTCAGCGGGCCGGTTTTTGTGACGGGCAGCAGGACGTCCCCGGTATTGTGTCGCACAGCGTCCGGAGCCCTTCTCGTCACCTGAGGCTGCTCGTTGTCGTGCCCCTGCCGGCTAGGGCGGTAGTGGTAACTTTCCTTGCCTGGCTGTCGGTTAGTCGACGCCGCCGCGTCCCTGCCAGCTGTGTTGCGCACAGACAACGCTGACCTGACCTGACCTGAGCCGGCCGGTCGGCAGAGCTGCGGCGGCAGCGGCACTCGGTGCCCTCGCAGACGGCGTACGCGCAGCAGCTGTCGATCCTGAACCAGCAGCTGCAGCTGGGCGCGCCCGGCGGCTCGGGCAGCTCGCTCTTCTCGACGGCCGTCATCAGCGGCTCGTCGTCGGCGCCCGAGCTCAAGTCGCTATTCACCCCCGTCACGGCCATCGGTGAGACGGCCGGCGACGCGGCGGCGCGACCCGCACCGCGACGTGGTACTGTGCGTCGGGTCGTGGTGCGGTGCTGTGCTGTGCTGTGCTGTGCTGTGCTGTGCTGTGCTGTGCTGTGCTGTGCTGTGCTGTGCTGTGCCGTGCCGTGCCGTGCCGTGCCGTGCCGTGCCGTGCCGTGCCGTGCCGTGCCGTGCCGTGCCGTGCCGTGCCGTGCCGTGCCGTGCCGTGCTGTGTGTGTGTGTGTGTGTGTGTGTGTGTGTGTGTGTGTGTGTGTGTGTGTGTGTGTTTGCGTGTTTGCGTGCGTGCGTGCGTGCGTGCGTGCGTGCGTGCGTGCGTGTGTGTGTGTGGATCCGGTCTCGCGGTCTCGCGGGGTCTCCGTGTGACACCAGGCCTCGCGTCTCGGTGTGACGCTGCGTGTTGGCGGTCCGGTCGGCAGGTATCGAAGGCTGCGGCGGCGTGCCGTCCATCCGGCCGCTGGAGACGCTGCACAACGCCATGTCGCTGCGCCAGGTGAATGCCTTCATCGACCGCGTGACCTCGATGGAGTTCCGCACGCCGACCGAGCCGTCGGCGCCACGCGGTCACCCGCCACCTTTGGCCCTCCACTCGCCCACCCAGAGTGAGTCGGCGGCGGTGCTCCACCTGCCACCTCGGGCGTCTCTGTCGTGTACAGCTAGAGGGCAGGTACTGCCTCGCCAGACAGCATCACAGTTGGCAGTAGCAGCGGTCGCACGCTGCTTGGCACGATGGCCGGGGGGGGGGGAAGAAGAAGGGAGGGGAGGGCACGTGCGTGCTTGCGTATGACTGAGCATCCGGGCCCGCGATCTTTGCAAGGTCTTTTGTTGGTTTCATCCTCTCAGATTCGCCTTTCACATGCATGCGAGTATTGCTCAGAGTGAGCGCTGCACTGACTTATAGACACCTGTTAGAGCTGTATTGCCTGGCGGCGCCGCGCCGTGTTGACACTGCAGCCGGTCGCCGGTGGCGCTGGACTGGGATTGCTGGCTGTGTTCGGATCGGAGGGCGCGGTGTGGCCAGCTCCCGTGGCACGCGGTGTGGGTCAGCTCCCGTGGCGCGCGGTGTGGGTCAGTTCCCGTGGCGCGCGGTGTGGGTCAGCTCCCATGGCGCGCGGTGTGGGTCAGCTCCCGTGGCGCACGGTGTAGGTCAGCTCCCGTGGCGGTGTGGGTCAGTTCCCGTGGCGCGCGGTGTGGGTCAGTTCCCGTGGCGCGCGGTGTGGGCCAGCTTGCGCGGCGCGCGGTGTGGGTCAGTTCCCGTGGCGCGCGGTGTGGGCCAGCTCGCGCGGCGCGCGGTGTGGGCCAGCTCCCGTGGCGCGCGGTGTGGGTCACCTCCCGTGGCGCGCGGTGTGGCCGGCTCCCGTGGCGCGCGGTGTGAGCCAGCTCGCGCGACGCGCGGTGTGGGTCAGTTCCCGTGGCGCGCGGTGTGGGCCAGCTCGCGCGGCGCGGTGTGGGCCAGCGCCCGCAGCGCGCAGTGTGGACCAGCTTCCGTGGCGCGCGGTGTGGGCCAGCGCCCGCGGTGCGCGATGTGGGCCGGTTCCCGCTGCGCGCGGTGTGGGTCAGCTCCCGTGGCGCGCGGTGTGGGCCAGCTCGCTCCCTTCGTCAGCCGCACCGCTGACGCCGGCCGCGGCCGCAGGTCTGAGCATCAGCGGCCCGTCGTCGTTCGTCTCGTCGCCCGGCTCCAGTACGCCGCTGGACGGCGGGCGCATCGCCAACGACGGCTGGTAGCGGCGCGCCGTCCACCGGATCTCCTGAGCAGCCATACTTCGTGATAGCGCCGTCGGCCCCTGGAGGGCGCGGCGGCACTTTCGTGTGTGCAATCCCGCAGGCGTCGAGCGTTGGCGGGACGTGCGAGGCTGGCGGGCGGCACGAACCCGCCGCCGCGCCACGGGCAATGCCTGGTGAGCCGTGTTATCTGCGGCAATCAGTGGTACCTGATTTATCAAGTGATCGGTGCAATGGGACGCAGTGTTTCGGACGGGAGCAGAGGACAGGACGGCGGTTCTGGGTCGCTGCCGAGCGGCGGCGGCCGGAGCTCGGTGGCCGCAGCGGCCGCGCGCGCAGGCCAGGATCGGCAGACTGTGTCGACCTGGTGGAGACGTGCCGTCTTACTGGGGACCGCCGGCCGGCCCTGCGCTGCGGCACACCGTGTATTCTTCTCCATGGGATCAAACTGTGCAGCTGTCTTGCCATTCCGCGGTGTTCGTTCTATGCTCGTGTTGCGGCAGATCACGCTGGGACGTGTGTCGCCTGTAATGTGTACGCCTTCGTTCCGAAGACAGCCGACCCTTGCCCCCGAGTAGTATTCCCGTGGCCACTGTTTGTTGTAGAACAAAACCACCGCGGCTCATTGATTTTGACAGCGACGATCAGTACACAATGGTCCATCCGCCGTTGTGTTCCATGTCACCCATCCGTTTCCGTTGCGGCGGTCAGCTCGCTGGCTGGCGGCCGTCGTGACGTGACGTGACGTGACGCGACGTGATGTGACTTGACGTGATGTAACGTGACGTGATGTGACGCGCTTCCTGTGGCCGGGCCGGCCGTCTAACGGGCGGCCGCACTAGTGTCGCTCGTACAGACCGCCCGTCCGGTCGCCTCGACTCAATACACGCCGTTCCGAGGCGCGGACCGATGACGTGTATTCGATGATGAACAGACAGGGGTGGCCACACTCACACGCGCACACTCGCAGAGCGCCCGGGCGGAGCCGGTCACTGGGTGAGCGTGACGAGCGCCTTGACGACGTCGCCGTGGTGCTCGCGCAGGCAGCGCTCGGCGCGGGGCCGCCCGATCTCCATCTCGGTCATCTGTAACAGACGGGCGGCGGCCGGTCACCGCGCAGCCGCAGGTCACGGGGTCACCCCGCACCGCCCGCGCCGGCGCCATCAGACGGCGTCGCGGCTGTCATGTTTGCTTCGAAGCGCGCTGGGTAACCGCAGGAATTGGAAAGGACTGACTTTGCTGCTTCTTTGTTTAACCCATTGACTAACAGGATGAATCGGTGGACCGCAGCTTTCGGCTCACAAGCTTACGGGACGCGATCCAACAACGGTACAAAGCGCGTTGCGCTAAGTGGTACACGTCACGGGCGACGGACAGCGGCGCAACCGACAGTGAGTCATATATCATAGCTAAATTCATATTCGGGCGCATCAGTCTAAATTATATCGCTGGGTTGTGACGTAGAACTGCGCAAGCTGCTAATTTGCTCTCCGTCGATTCATTAGGTTGCCCTGCAGCAGCAACAAGCAAAGCAAAGGAAAACTCGAACCGCACGGGCCGTTGGCGGTGCATGCATTTCGCGCCTCACAGAAGCTGCTCAAAATGGGACAATGCTTAGTCTTCAAAGCTCAACTAAAATTCCTTAGCCTCCAGACTTAGTCTTCACTGAGTTGTCGTGGGGCAAAACAAGAAATACCCCGATGGCTTACGATCATTCAATTATACGCAGCGGCACAGTCGCCAAAGGATGAAAAACTGGGAAGACACATGACGATGCCCAGAACAACCACAGCCGACCTCATCCAGCATGTTTTCCTTCAACAGTACCACCCAGAATGATGTAGGCACTTTTGTGACATCACAAGGACCATGAAATCAGCCTCGGTGTCCCGCAACTAACCGATCTGATCCAACAGTGTGCCTGTTGTGTAGAGCCCCCCCCCCCCCCCCCCCCCCCCAACAGGACTGCCGGGTGTTGCTAAGATGTTGCACGGATTATAGTCACCGGCCCTGTGCACCCCATCCCCATGTCGGCCCAACAGCCATATAAGGCAGCAACACCCCAAACTGCCCCAGCCTTTTCGAGGACAGTGCGGTACCAATTTGATTTAATTAAAAATGCTCACAAATAGTACAAGTCTATTGATCAGGTAGGTGCCACTTGTGGGCAGCACCGCATCATATCAGACCTATGGAAAATATAAATGCCCAACCGCCCAGAAATGTACAGGGGACGGCATGCCAGGATCTGCGATCCAACACCGGCAACACTAACGACGGAAGGTTAACACGACTGTACAAGCTTATCTCAATACGCACTTCAGCACGAGCACGGCACGCGCGTGTATCCCGGGGAAGGACATGGGAACAGTAACGCGCATCCACACACGGAGTAACAAATAAAATGCGGCAATAACAACACATATACATGTCCTGCCCAGGGTAACCTTTCCATTAGCAGCCATGGAGGCCTCGCGGAGACTAATCATGCTCGCGCCAAAAGAGAAACTCGAGTCTTTTCGTTTCTACACACGCCTCGAATGCCTTTATTTCCACACCCGATTCCCGGTACCATGCACCTCCCGTCTACAGGAGACACGCCAAGTGTGTGTCACCGACGCCTGGTAGTCTGAGCCGCTCACTTATGGACACCCACGGACCGAGACGGTCAGCGCCGGGACACCAGCACCCAGCATCGGCGGAATGCAGCCGGCCACACGGCAATCGTCGCCTGCCATGATCTCTTCCGCCTGCCGACGCGCGCCACCCCGCCACGACCCCTCAGGGGCTGCTGTCGACCGCGCCACCGCGTCAGCACCGCACAGCTGCGTCAGTTGTCAGCTTTGTCAGTTGTCGGCTGTGTAAGTTGCCAGCTGTGTCAGTTGTCGGCTGTGTAAGTTGCCAGCTGTGTCAGTTGTCGGCTGTGTAAGTTGCCAGCTGTGTCAGTTGTCAGCTGTGTCAGCCCGCCCGCGCAGCCGCGCTGGCAGCAGCCCCCCCCCCCCCCCCCCCCCCCCGGTGGCACTATACAGCGCACTCCGAACCGACCGGGCGACCTCAGACCCCGCCCAGGTGCAGATGCAGACGGCACACCGCGGCGGCAAGCGCACCCCACGCTCATCGGCCACACACACACAAACACACACACACGCGCGCGCGCGCGATCGAGGGCCTGTCCGCAGAACAGCGGCGCAAACTCGACCCAAACGGCACAGTCAGTTCGGTAACAGCCGGGCGCGTCCGACGTAACGTCTCTCTCCAACAGCGCACGCCGCTGAGATTCGGCACGGGCTGCGGTCGTCGCACGCCACGCCCGTCACAGGAGAGCGCATTCACACGGCAACACGCGGGCCGCCCCGTCCGGCGCCCGCTCACAGCTGGTCATCGGATGCACAGCAGGTGGAAGACAACGCTGCACAATATCATGGGTACCAAAATAGCTTAAGTAGAAAAGATCTGTATGAACGGGAGCCGGGTAAAAAGGCCACATGTTTCACGTATTGCGTCTGCCGCCCAATCACCGTTTACAAGGCACGCGGGCTCGTAAAAGGCACAGTCTCGCAAGAATATGCGCTACATTTGTACGTTGGTCGAAGGCACTTCTGGGAAGCCGAGGGAAGTGGAGCGGACGCAGCGTCCGCTCGCTCGCGCTCACGGCAAGCCGTCCACCAGGTTCTCCTTGCCGTGCGACTCTGGGCCGACCAGCTTGCGGATGCCGCGCGTGCGCGCCGCGCTGAAGAAGTTGCTGATGGTGCGCGCCGGCAGGTCCAGCGAGGTGGCGATCAGCTGACGCATGGACGGCGACGGCCTCTCCGTCACGCGGAAGATGTCGACGAGCGCGCGCCGCTGCAGCGGGCTGATTTGCACGCGCGGCGTCCGGCTGTCGGGCGCGCTCATCAGGGCCGGCGGCGAGGGCGGCTCGAGCACTGGGGCCGCTGCGCCGCCGCCGCCGCCGCCGCCGGCCCGCTCCGGCAGCGCCTCGCCGCCGGCCGGCAGCTGCGCGAAGGTGACGGCAGGCGCGGCCGGCGGCGGCGGCGGCGGTGCGTAGCCGCGACTCAGCTCCTCGTAGCCGGGCAGCGGGGCGCTGTAGAGCGGCGGCGGCCGGTCCGGGAAGCCAGCCAGCTGCTGCACCGTGTCGCGGTAAGAGGGCGGCGGCAGCGGGCCGGCTTGCGGCGGCGCCGCCGCCGCCTCGGCCAGGCCGTATCCGTACGGCGGCTGCGGCTGACCGACGCCGTCCACCAGCGCGAACTCGGGCTGCGACAGGTCTTCGTCGCCGTAGCCGGCCGGCGCTGCGCCCAGCTCGCCGCCGTAGACGTGCTGCGGCGCCAGCTCGAGGCCGCCATAGCCGGCCGGCCGCGGCATCTCGCCGCCGAACCCCGCCATCGGGTCGCCGCCGAGAGGCGCCGGCCGCGCACCCGGCAGCAGCGGCGCGCGGCGCCGGTCCTTCTGTGTGCTCTCGGTGCGCCGCTTGCGGTTCATCTGCTCCTGTTTTTCGCGCACCGTGTTCAGTCGCTCCTGGTGAGGCCGCTGCATCCAGCCGTGCATGGCCTGGTAGGCCTTGCGCGTGCGCACGTCGGCCTCGGCCCACGCCACGGGCTTGCGCAGCAACGGAGTGAAGGCCGTGTTCCAGCCGAGCACGGTGCGCGCGAACACCGTGTGGTGGATCTTGTTGTCGGTGAGCCACTGGAGCACCGCCTCCGCCACGCCGGCCGTATCGAGCGGGCCCTGCCGGCGGCACGCACCACGTGAGCCCGCGACGAGCCTTCCGTCCGCCCGCGCACGCCGGCCCGGCCCGGCTCGTGTCGTGCGTGCCGGGCGTGGCGGAGGGGCTGCCCCACCGAACGGCCACCGGCGCGCACCGCCGCGCAGTCGGCCGCGGCTCCGGGCGGCGGCCGTCGCCGGCGGCCCGGCACTGGCCACCGACCGGCAGACCACGCCCGCACCGACGGCGGAAGGCGCGGAGCCGGGACACGAGGCCGAGCGGTAGTAACACAACGCCAGCACCAACGAACACCGCTCAGGCTGCATCGAGGATTACAGAGAAGGAAGTGCGTTGTGGGCTTCCCATGCATGTAAAACATGGTGTCCGAAGTGACATTGTTCGGGTATTCATAGAGGGAAGAACATTTCACATGGATCTTGTCACTTGTCCAATTCATTTGTTCCTTTTACTTGTTTGTGAACTTGTCATTTTACAGAGGATTACACAGAGATCTTGCTGTCAATTCTCCAGTTCATTTGTATATTTCACTTGTTAATGAAAAACTTAACAAATCTTGGCTGACCAAAGTCAAGACACTCTTGTATTCGATCCTCAAACACATGGTATTTGCCAAGGACCAATCTTTTTGGGGGGAGAGCATCTGGTGGGTAATGTTTTTGCTTGACTTTTGGCGACGACCAACCATGTACAAACACGCACTACCAATACAAACGGATCGACTGCATGTACTTTTTAAAGAAAGAATGATTGTGTCCAGATGGGGCTCACTGTTGTTTTAGCAGATGTTTGTAGAAAGATAAAGCACACTCTTGGCTACCCTTTATTGTCTGCACTTGATATTTCTGCTTGTACCATGCATTGTGAATTTGTACACACCATAATCATACACTTAGCTTATCCAGGTCAAGACCAGGCAGTCAAGTGCCACATTAGACATGGGTCCTAATACAACTGACCACACAACAGCTGTGACACATGCTACCTGAGTCTGATACCCTGACTTCCCTTATTGTTAAAACATTCTGTCATCCTGCCAGCCAATTATAAGCAAAATGTTTCTCTGTTTTCCCACCTGTGGATCAGGTGATCTGCTTGCATTGTTGGTGGCAATACTGAGCATGTGGAAACTCTTTGCAAATCTGGCTAATTTGTCATTACCCACTTGGTTCTGTAATGCTGCCAACTTATCTCAAATGCGATTGATGAAATGAGAGCTATAGGAAACACTAGGTGACTATGGTGGTGTTCACCAGCCTGCTGAGGCTGCCTGGCAACCAGCTCACACCCTTTCACAGCCTGTCAAATAGCATTCGACCATGTAAAGGAGGTGTTTACAACACATGGCGCCCATTTACATTACCCACTGTTGGAACTTAATTGGCTTATGGCATGTAACTACATCCTGACCTTTCCAGAAAACCAAGATAGCTCTACAGGGCTGTCGATGCAACCAGCTTCACAAAAACATGTCCCCATTTTTCCTCTCTCTCTCTCTTTCAAGTGGGGATCTGGTATTGTTGCAATGTCAACAGCATGATGCTTAACAGTGCTTGTTGTGTGAGCCCTACCCCTGCCATCAGATCATGTTATTCCAGGTCAATGGCAGAATTTTGGTGGCCAAATTTAATGTGCCGCTTTGCTCAGCAGTCCGTCCTACTCTCTACCCTCAACTAATCTTCACTGCGGCCGCTGCCACCGCCCACAGCCCATATCTGTCAGGGGCAAAGAGCAGGCATGTAATGTGACTCAAGCCCACCCCACCATGGGGAATGGATCAAAAGGCAGGTGCTCCAACAAACTGGGCAATCAGGTCAGACCAGTGCTGGGTACAGTCCTGGTCTCCTGACCGACCTAAAGTTTCAAGCTACACAGGCATCATGGCACTTGGCAAACACATACTTTTACAGGCTGAGTACATCTATGCTTTAGCATCCCCCAATGGCATCTTATTGTTTTGAGTCACGTCATGACAGTGAGCATGCTCTCCTGCAACACTTCAAACTTCCCCTTTTCCACCTTAACTTCTGGGCATCTGTTGACTGTTTCCTCCACAGTCAAAGGAACTGGGGAGCTGAATGGGCATGTCCCAACCCCATATTTCACGACAGCTCAACATGAGCCTGATGATAACATTGGACAAAGATAATGCAAACAGGGGATATATTAGCCTGTGTACTTTGGTTTTTCATCCTCATGACACGAAAATTTTACTATCACACCTGCAGTGTGAATAAGTTTGTAAGGCATAATTTGGCCAGGGGCACCCATAACATTGTCAGTCAAACATGTAACGGCATAAGCATGACCAGCATAAGCACAACAGAACAAGAACTCCATGTAATTAAGCTGTTGGCTGTTCAGCTAAAAGAACACAAATTGCTGCCACTTTCCAAAGAAGACTTACTGACAGATGGTTTTACTCTCTTCAGGCAAAACCCAGTATTTTATTCAATATTCTGTATTTCTGCCATGCTATGATCATGGTACATTTTCCACATAAACCTGGTCAATAATGATATGGGTGCTGAAATTAGGTGAGATGACTAAACAAAATAAAAAATGCATATTAATTTCCCATTCATTTGTTCAAAAACCACACCAATATACTCAAAGAGGTCAAGTGCTAGCCAGCCACATCCCAGACTTGTACCTGGCATGATGCATCCAATTGGTTTAAACACCCATAGGCAAACAAACAAAAAAAGGTATTGGGGCATACAGGCCAAGTGGTCTTTCTTAACACTGAATGCTATCTATCCATGACTTTAAAACATACTGTGTGCAGAAAATGCCCATAAGATGAAGCATCAGAACAGCATCAAAACAAGGATAGAGTGACAGCCAATGCCACAATCTAGACAGCACATATAGCAGGCCAACACGTGCATATGCATAAAATTGGCATAACTTACAATCAGTTCCACATCATCTTTCCTGATTGGAACCTTGGCAAGCTCTATTTCTCGTTCCATCTTCTCCTGTGCCTCCTTTCTTCGTCTTTCTCCAATTGTAGCAACAGCCTGAAAAGGTCCTTTCATGATTATCACTTCACTTTGCATCTAATATTTCTAACTTGCATCCACAAAATTCACCTAAAAGGGCATCATGGACAATCACAATGCAGGACCATGGCATTCAAAGGTTAAGATTGACCTATGACCAAATTAGATAACACTAACATCCACATAAACCAGTCTGCAAAACCTCTAAGTCTGTGACAGGTCTATGACAGGTCTGTGAAAAGTCTGCAACAGATCTACTAAGCTGGTCACCTAATTGAGATCAGTGAACTGAACCTCATGTTTGCATGCACCCACCAGGCCAAATTGCACTAAATTACCAAATGGTATTTGTGTGAAGATATGTTAAGACCTTTTGGACAATAATTATTTTTACAACATAGCCAACACTTGTTTTTACAATGTGTTAAAACACTACCTCTGTGGTGGAATTGGATGCAACCATGCACTGAAACCACAGAGCATTGGGGTTTATAGTGTACATGTGATTAAATTGTTGTAGCTTGCTGTGATAGACATGTTCCCTGCCCTGAGACATTGTGGCAAGATTGGCAAGATTGTGGCAGAATTCAAGATGTGCATATGCTGTGATAGACATTCCCTGCCCTGACAGGCAATGTGATAGGATTGGCAGGATTGTGGCAAAATTCATGACATACATATGTAAATGCGCTCGGGTGGGGGGCCGAATTACCCCCTCCCCCCCAAAGGTCTTTCCAGAATGGTTTCCAAATGACAAGGCATAGCTACACCAGATTTTGCATAGCTGTAGACAATTGAACAGCAGGTTGTTTGGCATAAAAAGGTAGATGCACCTTGTAAGGTCGCTGACCTATTGCAGGTCAGTCAGGCCATGGCTTCAGCGAAAGCAACTTCCAGGGAATCCCTCAATCTAATCCAACAATGGAGTGTTAGATGAAGCCATACATCTCTGAGATGCTTTCTTAGGCAACACAACAGTTGAATGAGCATATTAAATCGACCCAATGTCAGGTATGAAGGTCACACTAAGGTCAAAACCAACCTGTTTTGTTACTCTACACCTTGCTGTATGGGATAGTTTCTGGTGCTGTGCTCATTTCAAATTTGTTGATGGCAGGAACCTCATTATACATCATCCATGGACATCCTAGAGGTCAGAATAGGTCACTGACCTAAAATGACCCAGGCCAATATTTTATTTGGGAACATACTGCCTTGCACAATCTTTTTTGCTTAGTCAAATGCAAAACTCAAAGCAATCTTGTATGATTTTGGTCACCTTGACCTTCAAAAGGTCAAACAAGGTCACTGACCTTAAATGAGCATATGACATTTTGCTTAGAAACAGTCATCCGGGTTCTGGGGGCACTTTGGAGACCAACTGGGAACTTGACATTGTTTGACCTTTTTTGACCTGAAGATCATCACCTAGGAACCTAAAACTTTGACATAAGCAAGTTCACATACAAGTCAATACACCCTGTAAATTTGGTGTCTCTAGCTTTCTTAGTTCCCAAGATTTCAGGGGGTCAAATTGACCCCCCCCCCCCCCCCCCACCTGAGCGAAGGGTGTTTAGCCGGCCGCCTGTGCACATGTTAACATTGTTGCACCAATGTCATGGCTACACCAGACATGTCTTGAGAAGCATGCATTTTTTCACTCTGGCTAATAATCCGGGAGACTGCTCACCCCCTTCCCAAGCAAAGAATATAACTGGGGCTAACGATCAGACCTATCCCACATACTCCACACTAAAAATGCACATTGAGCCCACACCTTATATGTTTACTTTAAGTCCGCATCTTATGCCTGGAATCTTGCAGAGCTTGCGGCAAAACCTTCAGTGTGCATGTGCACAGCTGATTCCGGGGCTTAATGTACTGTGCCACTAATTTCAGTGAATAAATCCACTATTTCAAGGACTTGTGATGCTGACAAGGGGATTATATACACTACCGCTGGCAAACATTTTGGGGATTATACACTTTGAAAAATTCATCTCAACATGTCCTGGTCCAAGCTTGGTACATGCCAGCACCAGGCCATATACACCAATGTCATGTGGGCATCTGGGTCAGATGTATTTTTTGCAGGCTGGCACACCTTGCAGAATGGTCTGCCATCTTTTGAAAATACTAGTTTCTGCTGACTGACACATGGATGGTAAGGTGTCATAACAATTTTTGGCATCTACTGCCTCCACACATAGAGTTTGGGAACAATGACTCCAAGGCCTATGAAGTCTGACCTGGTATTTCAGCAGGAGACAAGGGCCAGTTCATGACCATTCTCACATTTATTCCAAAAGTATGAATATCTTATCAGATGACTTCTTAAATTGGAAAAACAGCATCAATGATATGGTTCAAACATCACTGGTAATTAACTATTACCTTTACCTGTCCCCGCACTATGCGCATAATGCTGATCGAGGGACTGACAAAAGCGGCGCACCTCCACATGAAATTTATCATCCTTACCCCCGTTATATCAGACGAAATTTCCTTCTCTTCAGCATAGTCTGTAACCCGCTCTAGGTCTGCCGCACCACTGTCATGTTTCGCGGACTTTTTCTGATTTTTCGAGTCAGGCCCATCGTCCGCCATAATCGCCCCGCGCACACGCCTTCCGAGTTCACAAGGATGTGGGAATTGCGTCTCTTGATTTGTACACAAAGGCGTTTTGAGCAGCTGAGTAATACACTGGTCTGATATGGTACCAAGCTTGATATCTGACAGGTATGAATTTTATGTTTTATCATTTCCAAAACACAAATTTACTCTCATTGCTAACTTGCAATATTGTACCATTTTTCAGCAAAGCCTATAAAAATTCAAATTAAAAAGGCAGGGTAGTAAGTAGCAAAGAGGGAAGCAAAAGAGCAGAACAAAGTCAACGACTTTGATCAATTATTGTCCTATGCTTTGCGCTGCGAAGCAGCTTCTGCAAAATTGCAGAAGCTGAAAGGGCAAATATACAAAAACTTCTATTGATGGAGAACGATGTCCGACACCTTCTATTCCCTTCCGTCAATTTTGTATGTGACAGGCAGTGGCTGCGTCAGCCCGCTGGAGCAGCGTGGGCATTAACACTTGACCTAGCCGTCCACGCAGAGGCACTCCAGCAAATACACCCGACTTGGACCGATGTGGTTCAGAAGAGGCAGTCTCATGGGACCATCTGGGCTGCCCACCTCGGTTTCATGTGGCTTGTCATGAACAACCAACTGGGTCCCACATAGGCAGCCCGCCTGGGGCCCATTTGGGGCCTAGCTAGGACCTGCATGGGGCCACCTGGGCTTTTCAGCTAGGTCCATGTTGGACACCATCTTCCTGCCCTCGTAAATCTCCTCTGATTGATCGACCGCCCCGTTTTCAGACAGACTGCTCTGTATCATCAATGATGAGCCAAGTCAGGGTTCATTTGTCACGTATTTGACCGTAATCGCCTTGGCAACAGCACCGATGCGCAAAACGTGCATTTAATGCTCTCATGTACCGATAGGATGATCACTAAACCATTGAACGGACACTCTTTGCGTTGCCGTTGCTGCCGTTGTCAGCGCCGCCTTTCCTGACACCTTCGCAGTCTCTCCCGCCGAAACCCGTTTCTTTGCGCCTTCTTCGTTTCGTTGCGGGTGACACCGCGGCTCGGTGCCCGGGCATAAAATTGGATTGACATGCGCCCGGGTGGCTGGCTAGATACCCTTCGCTCGGGTGGGGGTCCATTTACCCCCCCCCCCCTGAAATCTCGGGAACTAGGAAAGCTAGAGACACCAAATTTGCAGGGTGATTTGACCCATACCGGAACTCACTTAGTCCAACTTTGAGCTTCCTAGGTTATGACCTTCATGTCAAATAAAGTCAAACAAGGTCAAATTTCAGTTTGGTCTCTAAAGTGCTCCCAGAATCCAGGCAATTTTTTAAAGCAGAAAGTCACAAGCCCACTTGAGGTCAGTGACCTTGTTTGACCTTTTGAAGGTCATGGTTACCAAAATCATACAAGACTGCTCTGAGTTTTGCATTTGAATAAGCGACAAAGGTTACGCTAGGCAGTATGTTCCTAAAACAAAATGTCGATCCGGGTCATCTTAGGCCAATGACCTGTTCTGATCTCCAAGAAGTCAGTGGAAGATGCATAATGCGGTTTCTGCTGTCAACAGATTCGAAATGAGTACCAGAAACTATTTCATACAGCAAGCCCTTGAGTAATAAATCAGGTTGGCTTTGACTTTGGTCTGACCTTCATACCTGACCTTAGGTCATTGTAATTTGCTCATTCAATATTTCTGGTACCTAAGAAAGCATCTCAGAGGTGTATGGCTTCCTCAAACACTCCGTTGTTGTATCAGATTGCACGATTCTTTAGAAATTGTCTCCGCTGAAACCATGGCCTGACTTTGACCTGCCATAGGTCAGCGACCTTACAAGGTACATCTCAATTTTCTTATGCCAAACGATTAATTGTCAATCAAGCTTTCAAGTGTCTAGAGCTGTGCAAAATTTGGCGCAGCTACGCCGCGCCGTTCGGAAACCATTCTGGAAAAACCTTGGGGGGGGGGGTCAATTTGACACCCCACCCGAGCGCGTGTTAATAAAAGTCAAATGTAAAATGTCAACAGAGTTAAACCTGGGATACGAGTCGAACGACAAATGATCGAAAAAGATAAATCCGAATGCGAAGAAAAAAATAAATAAAGGACAAACAGCCGAAAGGGATGAAAGTCGTATCAGAAAAAAGTATAATCAAAAACATGAAAGGGCTGAGGACAAAGATTAATGTTGACAGGAATAAGCAAAGCAATCTTAAAGACGAAAAATCCAAACGGCCAAAAGCAGGCAAAAAGTCCACGAGACAATCCTGGGTGCTTATGATGACACGCCCGCTGTGATAAATACAGCTTGAAACACCGAGCACTGTCAGTATAATGATTTTCTGCTCCATAGCGCCGTTCAACCGTACCTCCTGGTGTATCAAAGTTTGATTACTAGGAACTCATAGTGCCAAACACATGTATGTAGTTACCTTTTCAGTTGGATAAGGGAAAGACTGGAGTCCCTTTCTCAACTTTGGGAACAAGGTGGGTCTAGCAAGAGGAGAAATCAAATGATTGGTGTTTTGAAGGTAGGGTGTGTCATTTTTCCTGGCTCCGCCCTGTTTCCCCTACCCCAGCTCATTTTGCGAAACTACACCACCGCCGAATAATGAGAAGTTCATACAGACACCTCCTCTGTCCTGCGGCCGCCCTATGTACCCCGCTCCACCCCCCTCTCCCCGACGTAAAACATAGGGGATGCCGGAGCCGAACACTGCCACGCAGCTGCCGAGAGCCAGATGATGTTTCAGTTTAGGCCTTTATTTTAAAGTCGTATTTTGGCCCTTAGGAGCAGCTTTCCCTTAAAACCACCTTAAAATCGGTCTGATCACATCGTGCCTAGTCCGTTAGCATCATGCACATCGTAGCACATCGTAGTCTATTCCGTTAGCATTATGTCCCGTCTAGACCCGTCTGATCTCGTTCTGTTGCGTCCGGTCCCGTGCAGTTTTGTCCGGTCTCGTCTGCTCCCAACTGGTTCCATTCTGTCTCGTTCCGTTCCTTTCGACCACTTCAGGTGCCGTCCGATGCCATCTGACCGCGTCCAGTCACGCGTGGTGCACCTGTCCGATGCCGTTCGGTTCGGTCCCGTCCCGTCCCACCTGGTCCTATCTGTTCCCGTCCGGTTCCATCCGATCAGGTCTCATCTCGCTGTTCTCGTCCGGTCTTTTCTGGTGTGGCTGATCTCGTGCAGTCCCGCCCGCTCCTGTTCCGTCCCGTCCAGTCCAATCCTGTCCCATCTGTCTCTCCCGTGGTCACAGTCTTATATCCCACTCATGTCAAGAGCCAGATACTGATGGATTTTCTGTTTTTAATTGTCTCGACTCCTGGCGTTTTTACATACCTGGCTTCTCATGTATCTCTGTCAACGTTCTGTCTTTCGACATATCAGTATCTACTCTTATCCCTGCCGACTTTTTGTTTTTGAGACTTTATTTTTCGCTTTGTGGCCCTTGCCTTTTTCAGATTTCAAATATATCCCGGTCTACTTTTAGCCCCTTGAACTTTTTTGTCCTTCGAATTTTTCCGATTCGACTTATAATCCCTGGCATCTTCTGTCTCTTTCGAAAAATAATCTCCCGATTTCTTTGGCAAACTTGTTTTCCACTCAACTTTTTGTCCGGGATCTCAGCGCCTCCCTGCGTTAATCTGGATGGACCCTGGAAAGTTATTTGTTAACAACTTGGGTCGCTATTCCACGTCCTAGATGTGAAGAGAATGATCCACTTGGACGCAGGGACAGGGGGGGGGGGGGGGGGCAAGGAGACCATACCTCCCAACGCCGTTCAAAGTGGAGGGCTAGCAGTGTTAACAACCTCCCCCTCATTTTGGGGAATTCAAGTTATGTTTCGTTTACTTGTTCTACCTTTAACTTGCATGCCGATTTACCTGGTTTACCAATCATCTTCCTCAAACCGCACTGGACACAACTGCTTCATGCCGTAAATAGCGGTATATTTTCCTATCATATGAAATAAACGGAGATATTTGGGGGCAAACACTAGGTTTCTGTAGTATTAAAGGTTATGTTTTGACTTTTTATGCAGCCTTGGTTTTTCTGCATGCCTGCTTACAACCCCCTCAGCATATGTTCTTAGAGTTCAAGCATCTTAAGCTACATGTCTATGACATATTTATCTTGAATCTATATATCTATGTATGTATGTAGGGGAAAGCGGGGCAAGACGGACACCCTAACGGTTTTTTAATATGGCGAGTCCATAAGTCTGTCCAGAAAGTCTTTAGCCGGTGGATATTAAAGGCTGATCAATTGTCTATCTCTTAGAAAAGCGCTGGTTTGACATCTCTTCATGTTAAAGTGTGATCCTTCTAAATATCAGGCAATGTTTTTTCTTCATTTTGCCCCTGGCCTGAGGCAAAACGAAGAGTATTCGGGGCAAAACGGACAAGTGATGAGATTGAATAAGCGAAGTGACTATGTTCAAAGTTATCATTCTTTAATGAAAACGCGTCAATAAATGCATTGCTAGGTGAGTAGGTATTTATCTGGACATCCAATAGCTATATTTCTTAAGTTTGGGCTCTCATATTTTGTTCGAGCCATCCCACTCCATACTCGTTTCCTTAGTATGATCCCACGAATAAAAGTTATAATGGCTAGCAAATGTGTACTACAGCTTGGCATTAAGCGACAGCCATTGCTGCATGGCTTAGACACATAACTAGAGGAGCACAGCCCGGCGGTTACACAATGAGACGACAACGATCGAGTCTCAAATACACAAGTCATCGAGCGAAGTGCGCTCAGCACTCACTTGTTCTTCTCATCAATCCACTTCTTAGTCACTGTGAACGCAAGACACGAAAAGAGCACAGCCTAGTGGACCCGTTAGCAGGTACGACCAATGGCGAAACTGGACAAGACATCAGCCTGCCTAGTTATCCCTGCACCGTTCGCACACGAACACGCACTCGTCTTCATCAATCCCTGCACAGGTATCGTGCGCCCATTTATCGCGGAGAGCACATCGCGACCAAGACTCGCTTGATTTGGACATGGAGAAGTAAGAC